TGTTGTGGTCTTAAGCAGAATTATACCGGGTAGAAGAAACTGCTCTTTATTTGCGGACTGTTGCAGAAGTGCTTTTGGATCCTAGTGTGCCAAGTGCCAGACAAACAATGAAAACATAGTTTCAGCACATAAACATAGTTTAAGCACATAAAGTTCACCACTGAAAAAGTACCATATCGGCAAGGTCTTTGCCTATAAACAGGGTTTTGGCATAAACAAAGGCTGTGTTTCACAATTGCTATAAACCACATAATTACCTGTTTTGAGCCAGGTCAGTTCCTTGATCCAATTTTCAGTGGGGCTGTACAATTCCTACTGCTATTACAGTGGACAGACAAAACCAGAGTGGACTGAAGAGACTGCCTCTTTTGCAAAATGTCTGCCTTTAGATCAGTTTAAAGGGACTGCAAAACTGTGGCCTTGATTATGAGGGGGTTGATGTTATTGCAGGGTGAGTGCTCTTACAGAGGAGTCTTACTCGGATGTGAAGGCCTTTTTCCAGTGTAGCTTGTAGCGTTTGAGAAGAAATTTAAGCTAAATCAGAACCAGCCACTCTATTTGCTCTCTTTTGCCAGTAAGCTAGTGCAGGACGTTGTTGCCTACATGACTGTGCTTATGTTTCATGGTGAAACTTTTGCACAGAGGTGAGATCTTCAACAAACTATGCATTTTTCAAATGTTGGCTAATGCATTTTTGCAAAGCTTATCTAGTTGTGGATTTTAAAGTTGGAGTGTCTTGTGGCACTGTGTGGCTTGGCCTGAAGCATTCTCAAGAAACTGTAAATCAGATAAAAATCAGACACATTGAGTTTATCGAAGTGACTTTCATTTATTGAGATACGACATTCAGTCAGATTATTCTCCCACTCTGTCCACATCTAGTCAAATCCTGAGTGTGGGGCAAATGAAAGAAGTAGTTTGGGGTTGTTTTGTTTTTTTTTTTATGACAACCAAAAACGTTACCTTTCTGATAGGTATCTATACATAATGATTCATATTGGTAATTGCTCATTGACTCCACTGGCAGGTTCCTATTATTGTACATGTGTATGTGTATATATGTCTCTCCATGGTTTAACTGAACTGTAATAGCTTACACTATTGTTACCTGTCTCCCAGTTAGAATAGCCTGCTGAGTTATTGCTGGACTGGGTAGGAGGCTTTGTTGATTTCCCCAGCTTAGCAGTTGTTTGGCCTTTACATTTCAGCTGTGGGCATGTATGCTCCCAAACTAACAGAGCCAGAAGGATACCAAGAGATGTACTTGTCTGTCTGGGTAGAAAATACTTAGTGCTGTTATGGAGATACATGTTTCCACCCCCGTGGTGGTAAGCAGTGGTGGTGTGTTTGGTGGCTAGGGCCATTATATGGAATGTGCAAGCCAGAGAGCAGAGCTCGTACTGAGCTCACCTGGCCAACAAGTGTGCAGCCTCTTGGCCCTCCACACAGAGCTCCTCTGTGAGAGCTGAGCCCTCTTCTAAATGAGAACTTCTTGAAAATGTGGAGGACTGTTTTTTGTAATGAAACAGTTCCTTCTTTTTTCAGTTAGAAGCATATTTTGGGTTTCTGTCTGCCACCATTTAGATATGAAGGCTCCTGTACCTAAATACCAAAAGCAGGTACGGTAGAAAAGGCTCATGTTAGCCTTCGGTACTAGGCTTACCCTTACTGAATACCACTTGTATCAACAGCATAATGCTGTTGATGACACTTGCTTTGCAGTTCAGGTTAAGTGAGTGGCGTAAGTAGTCTGACAGTCAAAAGTGTAACGTCGTTGTGTGCCAGAGGTGGGGAATGTGGTGTGATTCTGCTGTGTGGTTTCCTGATTCTGCTGCATCAGGAAGGCTCTTGCATTTGGATAGTTGTGGCATTGTATCATGGGAATGGGGATGGCAGAGCTTTGGGTTTGAAGATAACTTAAGAGTTTAATGTTTTTGATAATGACGGGTTTGTTATCTAGAATGAAAGCGTTCATTAAGTCAATTATCATGTTTTCAGATGACTGTTCTGTGTCTCTCATGGATGTTTGGTTGTAAATGATGAGTTCCTCAGTGGTATGTTATCCTTGTATAATCCTATGGACCTCATTTCCAAAACAGCTATATGCTGGGCACATCTTTTACATGAAACACCAACAGATTTAAAGTAACTTGGTGGAATTCTTGGTATTGATAGTAATGTAACACCTTTGCAGGTTCTTGCCAGTGTGTTCTCCTGGGGCTTGAAGCTTGCTTTCTTTTCCTCCTTTCTGAACAGTAAGCTCAAATCTCTCCAAAGTGATGTGATAAGCATGCTTTGCATGAATACCCACTCACACTGAATGCAAACTAGCCTTAGTGTTGAACATAGCCACCTTTCCTCAGACCCATTTTCTGCGGCACTGCAAAATGTTTGGTTAATTTTGTGGAAGCTGTATGAAGGCACGTATGTAATCTCTGAATTTTATCTCTACGTTTGCAAATGTAGCATCTCTAAATTTCTCTGTGCTGTGATTCTTGATTTCCTTTTACTCTATTTTGGAAGGTGACAGGACTACTAAAGCATTCATTGCTTCTGAGCCAGGGCAATATTAAACAAATTTGGTGAGATGCTTTGGATATGTAAACCTGTCAGATCGGTGGTAAACTCTGTCCTGTTTGCTTCTACCAGCACACCCATTGGTGATGTGCATATGAAGTTCAGTGTGTACTTTGCAAACTGTCTGAGGTAGTGCATGTAATTTGTCTTTGCGACATTTTGTGCCATGCCCCTGATCCTTCTGTGCACCTGAGTGCAGCTGTTACACTGTCTTGTGTTACGGCTTATGTATGTGAACATGAATAGAGAGTCCTGAAGAATATTTTTGGTACAGGTTAACTAGGAGAAAATTGTGCTCTACATGGATTGTCTAGACAATTAAAAACGCTGATTTAAACACAGTATTTCATACTTAAGGCCTGCAGTCTTCATTTGGTAAATATTTCCATTAAAATTAGTGGAACTGTTTACAAGCCCAGTTCTGCCTACATTGAGCTCACTAGGGAAAACCAGCTGACTCTAGAGATGCCATGTAACCAAATGTGAATAACGTTGGTCTTTCTGGCCTTACATCATTTCACTTAGCAAAACCGTCCTTCATCTAGTGTTAAAATAAAAGTCAAGAAATACTGCTTTGTAAAACAGAATTAACTCAGAATTTGTCAGACAACTTGAAGTTGTCTGAACGAAGTGCTTTTATTTCAGGGCAATATGAAGAGATCTGAGTTCAAACAGTATTCAACTCCTCATTCATGTTAAATTGAAAATTTACCTTTTAAAATTGAATTTTAAAATTTGACCCTTCACATGAGAGAGAGAGATTGTGTATGTGACTGTTCAGGAACTAAATTGTGAAAAAGACATCTCTCTCAGAAGTACAATGCTATTTTATTACTGACATGTAAAAATCAGTGTGAAGCACAATTATTAAAAATCCCATATATCAGGCAGTTTAATGACAATGTCCAGACTTTTTTTAGAACTTTTATTAGAACTTTTTTTAGAACTTTTTTCCATAAGTGCTAAAACATCACAGATCCAAGAACTAAAAAATAATAATTTTGAATGCAATTTGACTGTACAGGTGTGAAAGTAGAATGCACATCTAATCAGTTGTCTTCCCACAATACTTTTTTTTAAAAGATTTGTTTTAATTTAATTAAAATAGTAATGCAGTGTGTAATTGCTCCATTTTGTTTTCTTCTTGAAATTATAATTTACTTTAACCTATTATTTATTATGTGCTTTTATCTCAAATTGCATTTTTATACACACTGATGTTAACTACCTATAGGTTTACTCTCAAAACTGATACAATAACTTTAACCTGTTTACACTGAAAATTCAAGTTAACCTTACTTTACAAATAGGCTGGGAAAGATGCCTCTTTCACAGTCCTCTCAAAAGAATGCTTGGGCAGTACATGTCTACAGGCGTACTATTTCTAAATACAGAGACTAGTGCTGTTCGTAGCATAAATAATATTAGCAGCTCTCTGAAGCCTTTTACTTCTATGTTGCAGCTTCTTTTCTAAGCTCAGTGTCTTTTCAGCCTCTTTTAAGCAGAGAGCAAACCTGTCTCCTTGTGGGACTCCAGAGGTACTTTTTTTTCTGCCTTCTCTATCTTTCTCAATGTGTCTTTATCTGCTGAGCACAAATGAACTACATGTCTTGTGGCAAAGCACAAGCCTGGAGCTGTGAAATAGAGAGTGTAAAATTGGAATAAACCCAGAAATGTTTCTGTCTAAGATAAGGCCTTTTTGGCCATTGTTTGTCATTTGTGCTGACAGGGCAAAAGAAGGTGAAGTTTAAAATAAGCCTGACTGGTAAATACTATCCTTTCTAAATTTCCTTTTCTGCCTTTTTTTCAGGAGGTGTTCTTTTTCACTTTCCCAGCTTTTTAGCTTCGGCAAATGTTTTGTTTGCACTTTTGTCATTTTTCACCACTAATGCCAAAATGCAACCTCCAGATTTATAATTCAAGTCATGGTATTCAATTTGCATTTAAAATGGCACTGAATTATTAATTTTGCACATAAAGAAGCAGCTTGTTTTCCGCACTTCAATACTGACTCTGAAACAAGAAGAGAACAGCATTCCTCTTCTCTAGATGGTTTTATTTTCTACCAACATTTGCACGTTTGGCTATGCCTAATACATCAGCATTTGAGATGTGCTGTGCATTTGACTATGCCATGCATATTTGCAGCACCTCGGGTTACCCAAAGGTTATGTCACGTCCTGTGGTGCTCCATACCCTAATTTAGCCTGACATGATGCTTTGACTCATCACGTTAGATTAGGTACAGCGCGCGTGTGTGTACGTGAAAGGATGATTTTGTGCCATACAATTACTGTAGATTGGAGGAGTTGGTGTTAAATGTTGTATGTGATCTCAGTGTTCAAGCCTCCTGGATTGGTGTGTTGGCCCCGCACCAAAGGAAGTAAATCAACAGCGCACTAACGACGTGTTCTTTTCTCTAGGCAAGCTGACACAGGGGCCCTGAGAGAAAACCCACGGGATAAGAGGGATCAGCTGGACCAGAATTTAGGCCACAAGTGGAAGGCATCTGTCAGACCTTTGCATGCACGAGAGCCTACAGTTCTGCCTCACGAGAGCAGGGGGAGGTCTGGGACATTGCCTAGTGACTACCGATACTCTCAGGAAAACGTGAACGAGAAGAGAAAGGATCACAGCCTGCCTCATCTCCTCAGCTCAGAGCCACAGACCGTGAACGAGAACCACTCCTGTCTGTCCCAGGGCAAAGGAGAGGAAAACCGTAGGGCAGAGCCGGCACTGCTGAACAAGAAGCGTGGACCTGCTCCTCAGAGGCCACCACCACCTAAAAGAGATAAATACAGGCGACCAGACAATTCTGCGTCATCACTTGGCACCTCTTCTGAATCTCTGCTGGTAACACCTAGCCGACCCTTTCCATCCTCATCCCCCAGCTCCACTGAAATATTTGCTAGTCACTCATCTCTCTGTCAGAGTCCTGCAGCTTTCAGTGGAAAACTGAAGAGTGCTAATCCACAGCAGCTCCAGCAAGCAGCATCCACAGATAATGTTTGTCAGCACTTAGAAGAAAAAACGCACCTTAGGTCTGAGTCTGTATTATCTTCCAAGTATCGGTATCTTCAAAAACCTGGCATGGAGACATCAAGGTCCCCTTCTCCTCAGTTTGCACCACAGAAGCTCACTGATAAGCCTCCAGTGTCCGTACAGGATGACAACCCAGCCAGGTACTAGATGTAACTTGTTTGCTGTTTTATCAATGCTTTTTGCCCAGTTAGACCTTATTAATGGTTGACTGTTCATTTTCTTTACTAAAAGCACACCCTTCGGTTTCATTAAGCAGGAGCCATCCCAGCATGTCTTAAAGAGACCTAAGACTTATGTGAAATTTCAAGTGGTACCTTTAAAGTCCTTCAACCAGTCTGTGGTTTCTTTTAGTTGACTGATGCTGCTTAGGTGTTACAGCTGGTAGTTAGTAGAGAATGAAAGGGATGAATTCAAATGGATTTTCCACTGGAAGTCTGGGCAAAATCAGATGATCCCCTGTCATAATTTCTGCCACCTGAGTCTGTGTATGAATACAAATTGATGTAGGGACAAAGTAGATGCAGGAAGGGAAGCTGTATCCTTTGTGAGAACATCTGTTTTGAAAGTGCAAACAGTAAGGTACAGTGCCAAATTATGACTGTTTTCATGTTGCTTTTACGATGAAACATGGCACTCCAGGTAGTCTGTAGAGGGCTGAAGATTCTGCAGGAGAACATCAGTCCTTTCCAAGGCTAGATAAACTCAGAATTAGACAAACTGAAATTAGTTGATTGCTGTCTCTGTCATATGCTGCTAACATCATAAAAGGTTATTCTCCCACAAGATAAAAAACTCAGGACATTCAGGAATCTTAGTTTTCATAAATCCTTCCGCACTGTAATTCATGGTTAAAGAATTAAAACCTCTGAGCTGAATGAATGCAGAGGTTACTTCTCTCAGCAAAAGTTGTTGGAATAGCTTTCCTCTACAGTAATGTACTAGACTCAATCATGCTGTTTTCCAGTGTGCCTTATGACGTAGAAAACATGAATCCCTTTTTTCCTAAACATGCCTTGATGTTTTTGCTCTTGTAACTGGAGGAAAAAAATATTTCATCCTGCAGTGTTTTTAACACGAAGTAATAGTACAGTTTACTATGAAAAGTGCCGCATGTCATGTGAACTCTAGCATCTATATGCAAAGGCAGATGACAGTAACAACTTCCTTAATGTATTGCTTTATGAATAGATACTGATGATGTATAGAAAGCTAGTTGTATTCGTCCTTTTTTACTACGCATTAATGTTGAAATGAGCGCTGAGGTATGCCTAAATACATGCCCATATCTGAATGATAATACACTTGCCCTCAAAATCTTTTGTTAACATTTAAAATTCTTAAGCCCAGACCAGCTATTGTTTGTGCACAATATATTGTACTCAGTTAATAGTTACATTACTTAATAAAACAAGTACGGCAAAAAAAGGAAAGACATGCAGGCCATACCTCTAAACCTTTTATATGGTATTTACTGTATGGCATTTATTTCATATGACTAAAATATGTCAAGTAGATTTATCTTAATATGTGATGATTAGATCGGGCTTGTTACTTCTGTTGGCTCCTTGCTTATCAGCTTTTGGACATGCCAGTTTGCATGCCATGGGCAGCTAATGTTTGGTGTCAGCATGAAACTGTTTACTCTTCTTCAAGAAAGGTGTCTTGTTTATCAACAGGATAAGCTGAGTGTGTAGGGTTTCCTGCAGTGTTTTAGGCAGAACAGTGTAGTGTGGGGAAATATTGGTGGCATGAAGAACCCAGCTATTTCCAAAGACAGTTGTTTAGCAGTAATAAAGATGAAAAGAGTGCATCAGTAGATGTGCATCAGTAGATTTCTAGTAAACATACACTCAGGTCAAGGAGTGACTGTGCTTGTGGTTGGAGTAAAGCTTTGTAATTGCCACAAGCAGAGTTGCTGCAAATCAAAATGTCATGCTGCAGTGCCACAAATGGAAAACCTTCAGAAATCAGGAGGAAAGTGATTGCAGAAACAGAATTTCTGAAGCACCTGGTGTTGAACTGTCTTTGCTCTGACTGAAATCAGTTGACTTGATGATGCCTTAAGTATCTGGAAAATCTTTTACTAGGCTCAGAAGAATGTATTGAGCCTCAAAACAGTTGCCAGGCATTTAAGGTAAAGAAGTGCAGTAAGGTCACTTCTTCCATTTGTCCCACATGCACTTATGCACGCATCTTGTATTTCCCCCAAATTCAAAAATGTGTTCCTCTTCACGGTCTGGTGGAGTCCAAAAGGTGTGGGCTTTATTTAAAAACAAACAAAGAGTTGAGGGTGGTGGCAGGCTTCTGCTTGGCTCTGCTGCAGGTAGGAGGAGAGTCCAGGTCTGCAGGCAAGGAGCTGGGGCTGGGTGGCGGACACAGGAGCGAGCTCTTTAAAATGGCAGTTGCCTTGAATGAAAACATCCCGACCCAATGGGAGTGAAAACGTGCCCCCAAAGTTGGGTCAGATGGATCAGTATGCCAAAGCACATCCACAAATCTCTTGAGGAAAGTAAATACCTGCTGAGAGGTTGCACATTCCTTCAGAAGGAAATATACCTTTAAAATATAAGATACAACTTCTGAAAAACATGAAGTCAAACACATTTTGCTATTCCGTACAAAAGAAAACTACAGCACAATAAAGTATAAGTTTATTTTTAAGGAAAGTGACACACCCACACTTAGAGGAAAAGAGCCATAGTATGTCTTCCTCACTTATCTGAAAGGCGGCAAGCTACCCCACCAGATGAAACCAGCTATTTTCGCTAGTAGGCAATGTTCCTTTACTTGCTGTAGAGCTTCCAAAACCACATTGCGACAATTTTAAGTTTTCTGCAAACTCAAAACCACCAAACTAGACTTTGTTTTCCTATATGGTTTACATGCAGTACAGATGTTTCAGTAGTGTTATTTAACATGTTATTGTCCAATTTAAAAAATCTAAGTTAGCCTCCTCTTTAAATAGCTTGCCTTACTGAGTGTCCAAGGTAGCCCATTGTGCTGTGCAGTATAGGATTTTTTGCTATAAGCTTCCCTTAAAAGAGTATCCAGAATTGTGTGTAATCCTCTTCAGTGGCTGTTTTTTCTCCTTTAAGTAGAAAACTAGGACACTGTGGTGGGTTCTATTTATTAAACTTCTGTATCTTGTGTGAAATTGTACAAATACAGATATTTTGAATGATTTCCAGGTTTTCCATGTGTGATTATTTGTTATTCTTGTAGCTCAGCAAAGGCCCAGCCTGCAGGATGTGTCCATCTGGTCTGTTGTCTCTTCCCTTGGAAGAGCTGGGAATTGCTGTGGGGGCATCACAGATTCCCCAGGCAGCTAAGCTGCCTGTCAGGCCAAAAGCTGAGGCTGCTGTTGGACCTGTGTGAGGCAACGAGGTTGAGCTTGAGGTGTGTTTTCCTCTGTATGTGTGGCAGCAAAGAGGTAAAAGGCAGTTCAGCAACACTCTCAAATCTGGGACCAGGCTGATGAAACTGGACCCTCACATTCATGGAAACAAACAGAAGTTGTGTACCATGAGCATTGTGCAAGGCTGGTGCTAGGGTTACATACAGATGAACTAATAATATTTAAAATGTGTGGGCAGAAAAGAAAACATGGATTTAGGGTTTGAGATACAGTGCAAGGAATATTCCGTTACCTAGATCTCTTATCTGCCTTTTTCATATTTGCACTTCCCCTCCAGTTTGCAGATGAGAATTGAGATGTAAGGTTCTTCCATTTTTGAAGATGAATTTCCCTTATTTTCCAGAATTGAAAGGGTTATAGACAACAATACCACGGTGAAAATGGTTCCTATCAAGATAGTTCATTCCGAGAGCAGCGCAGAGAAGGAGAGTCGGCAAAGTCTTGTCAGTACTATGGAGCCTCCTGCTTTGCCCAGTGGTTTGGAAAAGGATCAAATTAAAACACTCAGCACTTCTGAGCAATCCTATTCACGATTCTGTGCTTACACCAGGCAAGGTGTAGAGCCAGAGCCAGAAGCCAGAACCAAACCAGTGGAAGAGCCTGGGTGCAACTTGAAGGACAACAGTGCTGCCACGCCAGCAGTCAGCTATGTAAAGGCCAAAGAGAAGACCTTTGAAGACTGGAAGTCAGAGGAACTAGCCAGAGAGATTGTAGGAAGAGATAAATCTCTAGCAGACATACTAGATCCTAATGTGAAAATAAAAACAACAATGGATCTGATGGTTGGAATATTCCCTAAAGATGAACATCTTCTGGAAGAAGCTCAGCAGCGCAGAAAGCTCCTGCCAAAAGGTCCTTCTCCAAAAATTTCAGAGGAGAAGTGAGTATTACTTTTTGTAGGCTAGTTGTTCCTTGTAAGCTGCTATGCAAAGTCTGTCATTTTGTCTAGGGGTATGAAGGTGAGGATCTTCTTAGTGTTGAGGTTTGGGGCTTTTCTAAGGCTCTGCTGTTAGAATAGCAGTCAAGCATAATACTGCTAGTGATACTATTAATGACAGAAAAAAAAGTACAGTGCTGTACAATATGAAAAGTTTCCTGAGACCTGGTTGAAATCTATTTCTGTGAGAACTTAAGGAATAATTAACTTCTTCCATTTCATAGTGATTAGATATTGTGCCAAGATCATCCTGTCTAGTAACTGGATAGAGAAGGAACAATTTTAGCTTTTTTTATGTGATGAAAATTTACAAAGACAACCTGAAGTTGGCATGAGGCATTTCCTGGAAGTGAATGAAAACAAAGTAAGAAAAGATTTCAATTCCATCCCTGTTGATGTTCTGTGGGTCTTTTGTTTTCTTGAGATGAGTTATCCAATTAAGTTGTAGCCTTCTCGAGAAGTTCATGTGTAATTCCATAGTCAAAAAGATAAATATGTACATTGTAGTATTCCACCATTTGGCAGTCTGAAAGGATACTCTCTGTGACACTGAGGTCTTTGCACTACTTAGTAAAATGTAACTTTACATTTTGTTTCCAGCTGAGATATCTTAGGTCCATTTCACTCATTGTAATGGGGAAAGGTCCTCTGCACTACTTCAATTTTAGCTTTTGGTGGGCATGTGCTGAGTTCACACAAATTTTCTTCGCAACCAGTATTTATTTATCTTATTCCATAGATAATGGCTTTCTGTTGAACCCCCTGGTTGCTTGGTGAAGTGATGGCTCTGAAAGATTATCCTTTCTTTTCAGCAATTAGGGTGTCAAGGCAGTTAATGAAAGTTTTGACTTTTTACTAGGAAAGAGGAGCAGAGCGCACCGTCTGCCATCTCCCTGACAACCAATTCTACTTACTACAGCACATCTGCACCAAAGGCAGAGCTGCTGATTAAAATGAAGGACATGCAGGAGCAGCAGCAACAGCAGCAGAGCGAGGATGATTCTGAAGATGAGCTGGATCATGACTTGTCAGAAAAGAAGGTAAAACACATTGCTAAAAGTGTAATGGGAGGATCTCAGTTGCATGCATTTCATTAACTGTGAATTTTCTAGATGACCCTTCCCGCTTAAATAAAAGGCCTTCTAGGTGTACGGGAACACTTGGAAAAGCAGCCTGCGTTTGTTTAGGGTTTTTTTGCAGGGGAGGAAAGGGAAGTGATGTTAAGTGTACAACTGTAAATTTAGGAACTTCTTATTTGGTGCTTTGTGCAGCTTGATGCACGTTTTGGAAGGTCCCAAGAGGAGAAGTTTTGGGGAGGTTATTTTCAAATATTTTCCATTTGAGATTCTAGCATATTTCTCTTACTTGCTATATACAAAGAAACAGTAGTGCTTATGTATCCCACCATAACTGGTGGTGGTTTTAGTTGGTCCGTATTTTTGAAATTTAGGTCCAGGATTTGGGTTTGTCATGAGAGACAAGGAACACTCCCCCCCCCCCCCCCTCTTCTTTTTTTTTTTTTTTTCCATTTGTTTTCGTGAGCACCAAAGCACTTTGCCTTCTATTTCTCCTGCCTCCCAAATAACAGTAGTGGTGGGAGATAGCTAATCACCTTGGTGGATTCTCATCACAAGGGAGGCAGGCTTCTCCACTCTTGTTCATCCCCATCCTTTGGTCTTTTATTTCTGATCTAAAGTCAACGTAATCACCTAGCTATTAAAATTATGATATAATGACATTTTTGTGGTTTGAGAAAGTTTTGTCCTATGATAAAATCATCACACTCATCTCATTAGTGATTTGGTACAAAATAGTTTAATCATAGTTCCCAGTATGGATAAGCTGGCGGAAATGGTCTGTTTGATCAATTAAAGTGGTGCAGTTTAACTCTGTTTACCTAGGCCAGTAACACAATGGTGTGCAAATCTTTTCTGTTAAAATCAGCTCTCTGCTAAATAATCAACTGCCAGGGTGCGTTTGGTAATCCAGTCCCAAAAAAATGCCTTTTAATTAAATATTAGGAGTATATTTAGTCACTAAAAATTAGAGATTCCATAGTAGATTCCCACCTCTGGTTCAGTGCAGGAGTGGATGCCACTGCTTTTGAGGGGGCTGTAGTGTTTTCTGTTACCACTCGGGTTTTTTTGTCTCCCTCAGCCTTCCCTCCCTCTGCCCCCACTGCATCGCACAGTTCAATACGGCATGCACTGCTGGGAGCGTGGTGTGGCTGCAGCAGGAGAGCTGTCCTTACGCTCTCACCAGACAGCTGCTGAATCCAACAGCTGTACTACTCAGACAAATTAAGGATTTCACTGTATTTGGAATAATTTGGTTTTTATCTGGTGCCGCACATGAAGGTTATGTTCATCGTTTTTGCTAGAATTAGCGTCCTTCTCATTAATTATGGAGTGTATGTATGGGAGGATGTGTTGAAATTAAAGCTTTCTTGTTTGCTCAACAAACTAAAGCTTTTATAAGCAAAAGTGACACTTAGTTGTGATGGTGTCTGTTAACAGGAAAATCATGTTCACCCTTTACATACTCATCCCTCCATCCCCCCGGCTCCAGTGTACACCGCTAATCATATGAGATAGGAAGTATTTCATGAAGAGCTTTTAGCAGAGCTCCCCCATCTTCTCTGAATATACATATTGTTGTAGCCACGCACACGCTGCTGCTTACTTTTCTCCGTGCTCCTCCACACGTGGTAGGATGAGAGCACTCAGTTCAGTGGGCTTTCATCTTGGATCTTGTCAGAAAACATATAAAATTCGTGATAAGTGGGTCAAGGCATCTTTATAAAACAAACATAATATATAACTTGGCCCAGCTTCACATATTTGGCAGCAGTTTAACAAGGGATCATTAAGGACTTGAACACTTTAATAGCACACTTTACAGCTTCAATTATTTTTAGAGGAAGAGTACATCCAGAACCTGTTCCTTGATTCCTAGAAATTGGTCAGTTCTGTTATGAGATACCTTAATTGCAGTCAGCCATGGAGTGATTGTAATATCTGTCATTCTCTGCTCTGCAAACCAGAAATGTGTGGTGTTTTTTTTTCTTCTGAAATAAGTATAGGAATTTCATATAGTCTTTTTTTTTTTTTTTTTTTAAATTTGGGACGATCCCTGTATTCCCAGCTGACAGGAATGGAATGTACATGTCTCATATTCTGAATTTAATGTGGGTTTACTACAGTTATAAAATATTGCACAGATGTTGAAGACACTACAGGAGTGTTTTATGTAGTAAGGAAAATCCACATATGGCTGAGTAGGAAGTGTCCCCTTTGCCTTTAGGAAAGTTTCAGCAACTCCTGAGGAGTGTAAAAATAATTGAAGAATACCAGATTTCTTCTGCTTTTAGGCCTGAACTTCATGTGAAGTGGGGTTGTGAACTGAGAGCAGAATAATTTACATAAAGCATGCCAAGCAGTGAACCACCTGAGCAGCATGCTGCTGAGCTTTCTGTATTGCTAGTCAGATCGGTGAGAATTACTGGGAAAAGATGAGATTTTATTGTTTTCTTGTTTACTGGTACAGAATTCACAGCTATAAATTATTCATCTGCCAGTTTCAAGATGTAGATTGGAGCTCTTCTGGCTCAGTAGATATTGAATGTAATACAGGTTTTCTGCTGGTTAGCAAAAGCATGCAGTGAGCTCACAGTTGCTGCATCCAAAGGCTGCTTTATCTGGGTAGGAAGCAATCAGTGATCATAACGCAATTCCTAACAGATATAACAGTCTTAAAGAGGGATGAGTGCTCATGGCCTTCTCACCTGCAAAAGTGGCCCTTTAGAGGCTAGCTTCAGCTGCTTGGGGACATCTATATAGGATGCTACTAGGAAAATGGCCTCTTTTTTTTTTTTAGGAAAGAAACTTTATGAGAGAGCTGATCTGGATTGGCAGAGCAGATTGGTAAACATTGAGCACTCATGTGGCTTTTTTTTTATTCAAGAAAGTCACAGCGCAGCTGCAGGAGTGAAAAACTCAAGATACTAACATAGAGCACTAGAGTATCCTGTTGTGTTTCAGATGGTGAAACAGCAACGTTGTGCATGTGCATGTCATCTGAGGGAAATGAGGGCGTAGCACTGTGACCTACATAATCCAAATCAAACTGTATTTGCATTGAGAGAAGGGGGAAAAAAATAAAATCCTGCAGATTAATCAGTCAGTAAAGCAGGCATCTGTAGAACTGCTTACTACCTTAATCTTTTGGGCACCCAGACTGACAGATAACCCAAATCCAGATTAACCTGGCCTGAGTATATTAGATCAAAAAGGAGAAAACTGGCCCAGATAATCCATGTGTTGAATTTCTACCTTCAAAAGGCTGTTAAATTTTCTGGGTGCAGTTGCTTTCTTTTAAAATGGCAGACATTGTTGTTGGGCTTTTTGTTCCCAAAATAAATTGGCAATGACTGCTCAGTGCTGTCTGAGAGCAGCAGCTGCTATCAGTGTGTTTTTCAGTAATCACGAAGGCTTGTAATCAGATTTGCATTTAGAAAGCAGAGTTCCTAAAGAATGTCATAAGTAATTTTTTCTTTTTTTCCAAAAAAAAAAATGAACAGGTACTGTGAAATTATGACTATTTTAAAGAATGTAATTTTCATTTAGAGATTGGACTAAGAGGTGTATGTTTAGAGAATGCTTTGGAAATTTTTCTTACCTGAAATTAGCTGAATACTAAATAGGCATCTACATTGACATTAATGAGGCATTTTTAGGGTGTGATTCATCTCATATTAGACTAGAAGACTGGCTGAAATGACTTCCACCCCTTGTGCACAAGTGAAAGCTAATGGACAAGTGACAATTAGCAAATGGAAAGCTAAGAAACAAGTCCTCTTACCCAAATGCAGGAAGGCAGCCAGGCAACAAGGATGGAACACGGGTCACTGAAGGAGGAGGAGATCTGGGTTCTCAGTCTGGCTCTGCTGGTGATGCGCTTGACATGCTTTTTCTAAGGCAGGGCACGTGCATCCGAAGCAGTAGGGGATTATACTAGAGAAACCCTGACAAACTGCAGATGATGTGGTATATTTGCCTGGCGTAGGACAGCGACAGCCAAATATACTTGTTTGGTCTTTTGGCAGAGACACTCTGCACAGCTTCACACGGGGCTGCTTTCTATGATACAGAAATAGATTTTCTTCTCTGTTGGGTGCCACAGGGATTATGATTTTTCAGAAATGCTGTAAGGCGGTGTTAATGCTAAGATTTTCTGAGGGTGGAAGGACTGCTATTGGAGGGATGTTAATATTATGCAGAAAGGAAGAAAAAGCTAGACAGTGCCCTAGTTTTAACTGCATCATGTGGAAAATACAGGATTGTTTTCCTGGTACGGTTTATCTTCCTAAGTGTAGCTCTTCAGAAAGGTAAAAAGGACCTGGTATTTAGAGAGAAAAGGATGTGCTGTACTTTATGCTGCTCCATAGCAGTCTCTTGCTGCAGGGGGAAGTCCATCATCTTTTGCCACAAAGGTAGATTGCTTTAATGCAGGTCTCAGGCTGAGCATCGTAGACCTACATCCTGAACCTTTGAATCCAGAGGTATAGACCTTGCACATATCCTTAGACATGCATTTGTTTGTAATGCACTCATTGTTAAAGCCACATGGGAGTTTCATTGTATTAAAATGCTAGATTTCTCACATGACTTTCAGAAGTGGAGATAAATGCAGTAGTGCTAATAAATTCTTATCCCCTTGATTTTTCCACAGCAAGAACTTATTGACAGCATTAGTAGGAAGCTCCAGGTGCTGAGGGAAGCACGAGAGACACTTCTGGAAGACATCCAAGCAAACAATATACTGGGGGAGGAGGTAGAGGCCATCGTTAAAGAAGTCTGCAAACCAAATGAATTCGACAAATTCAAGATGTTTATTGGTGACCTTGACAAAGTGGTCAACCTTCTGCTGTCACTATCAGGTCGTCTGGCCCGGGTGGAAAATGCTCTTAATAACCTGGATGAAAATACCTCTCCAGAAGAACGGGTGAGAAAGGCCAATCATAATATCACTGTATATAGTGAATCTGGTGTGGGGGTTTTTGCTTGGTTTTCTTTATCTAAATTGCAGAGCTCGAGATAAGGGATGGCGAATGGATAAATCTCATAAGGCCATTTTCTTTAGATTTCTTTAAACTTTTCTCTTTGCCTTGCTTTTGCTTGGAATATTAAAACTACAAGCAGCTTGGTGAGAAAAAGTGGTATTTTGGGGTGTAGCATACTGAGGAACAGACTTCATAGCAAAAGTTTAAAGGAGGCAAACAAATTCCAACAATTCAAGATGGGAAAAGGAGTGTCACTTTGTGCTGTAATGCGGAAAGCTTACGGTCTTCTTTATGCTTAAGAAGGATCTTGATAAAAATCTATAAGGTTGTTGCAAATAAAATGTTTCTCATCTACTATGGCTTCATCCACAATGCCTAGCAAGGAACAAGAGCAAGAAACAACAGAAGAACAAGCTTAATTAAAAAAAAAAAATAAAAGACAGGGGGCAGGAGGGAGACATTGCAAAAAGAATTTTTCAATAGAAAACATGTTTTACCCAGCCAGAATAGCCCAATAGTGATGTGGAGGAATCCCAGCAGATGTGAACATTTCAGGAGCATTTGAGGTGCTCTTGTCTGTTGGACCCCACCTCTGCTGGCAGCACTTTGTTTAGCTCCAGGTCCCATCAGGCCTTAGCTGGGAAGCAGATATCTAGCGATACAGGTATGCCCCAAAGGAGAGATGTAGACATGTGCAAAACTTAAAGGCTAAAATAAGTAAAATAAATTGAGAGGGTGGGGGACGCAGGTATGTGTCAAGTGAATTTATCTTCTACAGTTAAATGAATGTGAAGTGGGATTTTTGGCTTGTAGTTGGGGACTGAAATGCCAGCAGTCCATTTAAGTGTTGTAACAGATTTTTTTCCATGGGCTGTGGATTCACGTTGTGTTTCTTCATCATGCTCTGTTGTTTCACCAGAGAAAGAACCAGTAAGTGCTGGGACTAGTTTGAAGCTGTGTTTTTGCTGTTCGGCCCTAGCTGCTGCCCAACATACTTGTTTAATGGCTGTCCAGACCCCTCTCCAACTGAGGCAAAGGAAAGGTATTTGACAGCTTGTTAGAGGGCAGATCAAAGCTTCTGAAACTTAAAGAAATGTAATCTTTCTTTAGACTTTTTTTTTCTAAATGTGGTTGCAGTTGCCTAATGGGCTCAAAGATGGGAGTGTGAGCTGGGGAAAGAGCTACGAGATGATATTAGCATATAGGAAACACCATTTGAGAGCTGTGATAAAAGTAGCTTATTGGCTAGGTGTGGAAAAGGAAGAAGGTGAGTAGGTGAGGTAGTAAGGACAGTCAGCAATTGTCTGTGTGCTCTGCTGTCAAATTTAGACTGACAGAAATCCAAATCGCTAACATGTTCTAATCTCCCTTCATCTTCTCATGCACTGACACCAAAATCTTGCCATAGTAACATCAGAAATATATCTAAAAGTGTTGGTCAGAGATGCTTTTCAGATGGATCAAGTCCCTGGGTTCTTTGACTATAAATACAGTGCATGTAGGGTTACATGTGCTTGTCTTTGAATTTAGACTGATGCATATGGTTTTTTTGATTGTCCTTTGGTATTTTGTACTATTTGATGTTTTTGTACTAGAGTATCATATAAGCAAAACAGGGGAGATTGCTTCCATCCCTGGCAGTCATATCCCTGTGATCACTGATTTTTTTATTTTGTTTTAAGCTGATGTTATCTAATAAACATTACTCTGATAGTTCTGCACTTCCTAGAAATCACCAACAGCTCAGCAGACTTTCTAAATAAACAGCCTGTCAGCAGGCAAATAATCACTGCTGAATTAATATTTCAACTATTAGATGGTCTGTCATAGGTCTTTGTTGCCACAAGGAGAACGGTATTGGGTATTTCAACTTTACCTTCTGAAAGGGGCTTCTTCTGAAATGGCTACCAGCCCCCTTCCTTCCACACAGGGAGACCAGTGTCTTCTCATTACTTTCTGTATCAGTCAAAGCCAGAGTGTGTTGAGAACCCTAAAGCACCGAACCAGCAGTCCACAGATGTGATCAGGTGCCAAGACTTGTTATTACAAGACTAGGGACAAGTGCCAAGGATAGTAGTTGAGGAACTGGAAATCAAATACATAGAGGGAGTTCCTCTTCATGTGGCTGTGGTTTAAAACAGCAAACAGATCTTGAGAAAGACTCTCAACAGAAAGAGCCAAAGACTGTTTCATCAGAGGACCTTCAGATGGCCCGTGTTTGGCTGGGGCTTCAGAGCAATACTAACTGCAAAACACCCTTCTGCACTCTGCTTGGCTTTGATTTGTTGAAAACAGTCAGATGAAACCATCCGACATCATTTATGCCTTTAGGCCTGATGACCCATTTACCCGTTGCTCCAAGAACCTCCTCAAGAATGGTGTCTTGAGCCTGCTACAGTGTGTTTCACTTTACCCTTCAAAACAGGCTTTCAGGTGTCAAGTCATCTTTGACAAGGGTAAAAGCAAATTCAAGAGGTATCTCATTTGCCTTCTACCATCCTGCATCCCACTTCTCTCAGGTATTCCCTAAACCTCCACAAGGGCAGAGGTACTGAGCGGTCATGCAAAGTTCATAACAAAAGTAGTGTTTACTTCCCGTAAGTGTCACGTTACTCATATTCAGCTAAAGTCATGCCATAGGCTTACTAAGAAGAAACCATACAACTTATGTCTCAGGAATTGTTGTGAGGGACTAAACACTTGATTATTCTTGTGTCTGTTGACAATGATAGCAAATGGTTGAAAAACGGAGTCATTTCATCCCAAGGTTAGGTGGGCAACTCTACAACTGAAATACCAGATGGTTGATGTATGCCTTCTTGTGTTCATCAAATTCTGCCTAATTCTGCTGCTGCTGCTCAGTGTACACACAAGCTGCAAGGCTTCCCTGGGGAGCAGTCTAGCCACGCTCCTGAGCTTGGGCTTGGCTGCTAGTTCCCCTGGTAAATTTAGGAGAACAGTACTTCCATCTCTTTGCAGCAGATACTTCCGTTTGTGACAGTGGGATTTTTTTTTCCCTGGCAAACACTCAAAGGAAGACTGAACTGTGGTTTTTCTAATAATGTGTGATTTCTGTGACTTGTCTTCCATAGGTGTCTTGAATCCTGAGTTAATCTAGGCTGTGCATTTTAAGGACATTGAGAGCACGTGTCTGAAAGCATTTCACCCGCTGAGCTTTGTGCTCTCTGTAGAAAAAGAGGTAGCATGGGATATGTGTGCAACTCTGACAGATATGTCTGTTAAAGCTTCCTGGTCTGTATCCCTCTTTGTGTCATACTTCCATCTTGAAAAGAAAACAGTTTTCTGTAAATACTTTAGGCTTATTATAGCATGTGTGATTTAATGTAAAGTCCAAATGAAAAAAAGTGGACACATTTATTTGAACAGACTGTGGTTTATTTGAAGACATAGGTTCTCAAAGAAAATTCATCTCTGAAGCAAAGCTAAAAGTTATGGAGTGATACCTCTGAGGGGCACTTTTTAATTAAGTTCAGAAGTCTGTACAGGAATTCATGACGTCAGAATAGGCCGGCCATGCTCTGTCGCTGGAAAAAGGCCATCACTTCTAGGCAGACAGCTGAAATGGGTCAGATTAATAATGCTCCTGTTTCTTTCCATATGCTGCTAAAAGAATGTAGGTGAGTGACTGAGGTGTGGCTGTCTACTGTGTAGACAGGTGAAGTTGGGCGAGATGTACCTCGCCCTTCATGCTCGTACATGCATGTGAATGGGATATAGCTCCTGTCCTCTTTCTCCATGTTTCTCCATTCAGCCTCCCTTTTTACTGTTTTGCCTCTTGTGAGGGCATGAAGCAGAAAGTTTACAGCCCTTTCGGGAAGATGATGCTCTTTTTTTTTTTTTTTTTTTCTCTTCACTTCCCTCCTATTGTCTTGCCCCAGTTCTTGTTCTTATATTTTAAGACCACACGACTTCGCGTCTCACAGAGACGCCGTGCAGATTGCAGCAGCACTGTGAAACACCACAGTGTCAGGAGCTGTGTAAGAGCAAATGGCTCTGTTGATTAGTCTGTTTCTGAGGTCTCTAACCACAGCTGTTTCAGTGTGGAAGTTCAGTACTGTGTATTGAAGATGTAAGGCATTGCTGAGTGAAGTCTTAATTTGGAGAACCTGGATGTTTCTCAAAGGCAACTATTTTATAGAACTATTTTGAACTGTTAAACAGTAAAGTAGTCTTTGAAGTTCTTGCTATTAGGGCCAACAGAAATTAGTGGTGCATCTTTCATTGATTCACTGCATTTTTTTTCCTGTTTGTTAATGCATTTTATTGGAATAAACTTTAAGGAGCAATCTTATTCCACCTTTCTAAGTATTCAGGAAAGTCTTTGTTTTTGTAGATAAAACAGACTTGAGACTTAAACACTGAAGCTGTTGTCCCAACCTGGCAAACCCAGTGAATTTTTAACTGGTTTTCTTTTCTCCTAAGCGGACATTGGTAGAGAAGCAGAAGCTGCTGACCCAGCAACATGAAGATGCAAAGGAACTGAAGGAAAACCTGGATCGTCGAGAGCGCATTGTCTTTGACATTTTGGCAAACTACTTGAGTGAGGAGAACTTAGCCGACTATGAGCACTTTGTAAAAATGAAGTCGGCCCTCATCATTGAGCAGCGAGAGCTTGAGGACAAGATCAAGCTGGGGGAAGAGCAACTGAAGTGTCTGACCGATAGCCTCCAACCTGAACGGCTCAAGTAAGAGGACTGAGTTTGACCAACAATGTGAAAAATGGGAAATAAGGAAGGGATCGGAGAGTTTCCAAGTACACAAATTAGTATCTTGGCTTGTCTGAGCATCCAGTAGGGAAACAAGTGCACAAGAGAAAAATAGCTCTCATAACAGCAATAATGCTTTCTTTCATTTTTTTGGAATGATGTATTTAATTTTTTAGAACACATTTTTATTGCTGGACTCTACAGCTGTTTCTCATTGCTGAACTTACAGAAAACTCCTCAGAAAAGGATAGACTCTTAACCTTTCTGCTCAGTAAGATGAAAGTCTGTGGCAGTTGTGCATGCAAACAGCTATGTTTTTTTAGAATAGGTTGTATACTTTCTTTATGTTCGGATGCTGTACAGACTGCTGGGAAACCCAACAGCAATTTATGAATGCACACGAATTTAGGCGCTCTAAATTTAGTGGCTTTTTATTTTTTTTAAAAAACACATTAAATAGGGGAAGCGTGCATCTTAATATTTAATATATTCAGATTGCTGAAATGTAGTGTCACTCTGATCCTGTGGCATCAGACACTTTTTTGTAATATTGTATATAGGATGGCACTTTCCCCTTGCAGAAAGTAACTTTACAGTCAGTCTCAGTTAAACACCGGTTAAACGAGCTTGCAAATCACCTAATGGCTACCTTGCTGAAGATTTTTTTTAAATTATTTTGCAAGAGATATTTGTACGCCCTCTTACTTCAATGCAAGTGATTTTCTTTACCAAGTTTTACTTGATTGAAGAAATAGGCTGGAAGTACTGTGCTGATTTTGTTCAAAACATTTCTCATCTAAATTATTTGGAAGGCTTATTTGCTCTTGTGCTTTTTATGCATGTTTTTGTTCTTCCCCCAGACCTGCTACACTTCGTGAAAATAAATGTAGGCTAAGGACATTGCTTCTATTTTTCTTCTGATTGCTCAGCATTGTGATCGTTTTATATAAGCAGTTAAGTTATACTGAAGTTGACCTACATGATGCTGTTCGTTCTTTCCGCTTTCTCGGACTACCAAATGCAATATAAACACTTTTGCCGTGTAAATACTGTGCATTACTTGGAGCAACTCTGCTTTGTAACTGTGAACATGAGTAGGTTTTGTTTGTTTGTTTTTTCCATCGCACAATGATAAATGAGAGGATGCTAGTTTGCAGTGTCAGATCACTGGCTGTGCTCTAGTAATATTGCCATTGACTTACAACAGATGATTTCCAATAGCTCTAAAAAGAGGTGCTAACTTGTGATTTAGCGCAGTAATAGGTTACGCTGACTTGCTCAGATGCCTACAGAGAAATTCTGTAGCGTCTAAATGTCAAGTTCTGTGTTAAGATAAAGACTTTCAGGCAGAGGAAAGTCTTGGACGACTTTGTGTATATGCCGTTTACGTTGTAGTACAGAAAACATTTTATCTCTCTGTAGACAAACAGGTTGCCCAACAAGAAGCCATTTTCAAGGTGGGTGTGAATGCCAGTCTGTAGCTAAGCAGGTTAAAAAATACAAGTAGTTAGGTGTCAAAAAGAGAGAGAAAATAATTCTTCCCACTATGCCTGCAGTAGCAGCATTCACAAAAGGTTTTCTGTCCTTCTTACCTGAATCCTCTCTATTGTGAGGAGAGAACTGGAGAGGCACTGATCTGCAAATACCTTGCAAGTTGGGGAACTGGGGAGCAAAAATCTTCTGGAACCAGTTCCTTTACAGACAAGTGCAAGTGTTAAAAGGACTTTTACCCCCCTGCTCTGTATACCTGGACCAAATCTTTGATGATAAATTATGTTGGTATCTATCAGTTGAGGTCAAATGGAGCTACCATTTCAGAAGACCTACAGCTGACCTTAGTTTCTTCCTCCTAGTTCAGAAACTTAGTCTCTGGCATCTCACAGTTATTTGCTGCTATGTTCCTAGGACGAGCGATCCCTTTGTCCTTAAATTTAACCCCTTAACCATAACAAACCCAAAACTAAACAATTCCCAAATAAATTATGCTTGTCTTTTAGCTTGGAGAAAAGTGTGCATTGTTTTATCTGTGGCATTTTAAAAAATTTACGTATTGTGGTTACTCTGAAATGTGTATGTGAAATGTGAATAATAATATAATTGCAATGTGTTTGCATACAGTACTTTGATTTAGATCTTTCTGATAAAAGGTAGCAATATTGTGAATGCTATATATATTATCCTTTTCACAGAACAGTCACGTAGACACCATTCTCTCCTTTCCTTTTTTAAAACTATGTTGAAAATCTCTCACCCTGGGAACCTGAAGATGGTTGCCTCCCAATGTTATATGTAAATCTGTAAATACTGTTGCTTTTTGAAAAAATCTGGTGCTAATGTTTTGCCTTTGGCATTCTGGGGATGGCTGTTTCTTCACCTTACATTGTTCCCAATTCTAGATCTCTTTGTATAGTGAAAGATTTCCACTATGTTTCTCCAGCTGTTTGGATCCTGCAGCCCAGAGTGAAAATGTACAGTTTTCCTGCCTGACACTTAACACCTACTGACAAATGGTATTGCTTGACTTTGAGAAAATAAACTGTATATTTCAATGTAGAGTTAGCTGTTGTGTGCAGTCTGAACTGTCAAAACCTACTGTTTTGCTGTGCAGTGTTAGCTGTCTCGTGGTGCCCATCAACAGTGCCTATGGCTTTTAAAGGCCAGGCCAGTTATCTGATGGTCTGAAGTAGTTTGCTGTCTTTTCACTGATTATTTAACATATTGATTTATTTGATCATTCTCAAGTTCCCAGTATAACTAAGTACCAGAAATCTGTTGATGTCTATTCAGTAATTTAAGTGTGTGAGTATGAGAGCACAGATACTAACTGCTAACTGGTAGGGTTAACAAGAAACTTATTCACTAACTGTCATTACCTATTGCCTGCTGCATTTTTTGAAAACCTTGCCTGGTGCAAGCTGCTGCCATCGGGTGGGATACCAAAATTACCTGGACTACTAATGTGGTGGTTTCTGGCATCTCTTCTGGGATGAAGCAGGATGAGGAATTCTGTGCATCTCCTGCTCACTAGGTGTGAGTTGTTAACCTAAAATAGAATAGTACCACTAGAGAACAACCAGATTCCCGACATGTATCTGCTTTTATTGAAATATTTTTATTTGCTATTCATGATTGCATGCCTTAACACAGGAGAGATTTTAATTGAAGCAAACAGATTTGTGACAATGGAGCTGAAGATGTACAAGGTGTTGAAAGACACAGAAGAATAATGATACTTATTTTCAGTAACATAAATCTCCAGCAAAATGGTATCTAAATGCTACAAGTCACAGGTGAGAATACTCAAGAATTCTAGATCTGTGTTCATATATTTTAGTGGAGTTAGTGAAAGAAAGGCTTTTCTTAGGCACATACTAAGTTGCAACTATATTAATGAGACTTTGTACATTCCAAGCAACTTCCATCAGAGGAACCAATATTGGCTCTGAAAAAGTTGTGGTCTGACCTGCATTACCAAGAGTTGTTAGTTTGCTAGTGTTCCTTGTGAAAGCACCATTTGCTAGCCTCCTGATGGAGAGTGTTTTCTGGAAACTGGGTAATTGATGTATAATTACATGAGTTTTACCAAAATGTTATTTTGGTAGAGTTATGAAGTCCAAAAGTCTTAGAGGAATTAACAAAATCTTCAAGAAGCTTGTTTCAAGCATTTAGTTCCAGTTGTTTCATTTCCCAGCTATCTGCTCTTTGTAAAGTGTTTGTTACTGATAAATTAGGCTTGTATCTTTTCTGACAGCCTCAGAGAAGTATAAATACAATGAGCAATTGCAGACTTAAGCAATGGAAGATAAGATTATTTATCTCAGTATCTAAATATAAAAGCATGAGCCTTGCGAGTACTATTTCTAGCCCCTCCCAAGAGTTACAGCTTCAGCAGCTTTTACACACAGGTATGGTTCCTCCAAAGATAAGAGAAGTCAAGCCGTGATGATCAAAGTGGCCAACACTGACCTGAAAGGGGTGGAGCAGTCTAATTCTTTTTATTAATAATGGGGTGATATGGATCTCAAGGACATGAAAACTAAGAAAACCTGGAAGGATCAGTGCCCTGAAGGAAGGAAAACTGAACCATTAAACACTGTGGTGCTAAAAAAAAAAAAACAAAAAAAAAAAACCACCTTAAAGCATCTTTGAAATTAACACTCATGGGGAACAACTTGGAATTTCAGAATCTCGGGTCTTGCCATGTGAGGAGGAGACCACCATCCTGTTAAAAGCATTCAGTAATGCCCCTTTCCTGACTTTGGGAGACACTGGCACAGCTCTCTGGCACTAAGGAACACTCAGCATTGAGGAAGAATTCCCTAAACAGCCCAGCTGGCTAGGCATGCTGAGATGCTTAAGTGACCTGGGCTGGGAGATGAGGGTGTTTTCCATCTTGTACAGCACACTGTGTGTCTACCAAGTGACTGACCTGGCTTGTTCTCCGGGTTTTTGCTTCTGTAAGTGTCACATCTTAAGAGCTTGCTTTACCACCACACTTTTAGTTGAGGGCAGAGCAATATCTAATTCCTGCTTAAGCTGGGTCATGATGTGCTGCCAGGAAAGCATGATTTAGAAAGCCAGAAGCAAACCAAGAACAAATATTCAGCCCCAGCATCTGGGTATCAATAGGGAGCAGAGGATCTTGGGTTTCTGTTCCTAGGACTGCTTACATAGTTCATGGTTGACAATCTGTGAATTAGAGTAGTCCAGGGAGAAGGGTGACCAGAATCTGCCCCATCTGCCCTCCAGACGCAGGATATAACATCAGGCTCTGAATCCAAGCTTGAAGTGGTGGCTAACTGCAGCATAAGTGCCAGTGCCTGTTGAGGATACAGCTACAGATGCACCTTTCTCCTGTTCTCTTTCTAGTCTGAAGTGCCTGGGTGCAGACACTGATATTAAGATCAGTATTGAAGTCCAATTCTTCCTCTTCAATGTGTATGAGGTGCTAGATCTGGATTATCATTTAGGTACATGGCTGGTGGCCTAAATTAGGAGCCTAGTTGGCCTTGATTCCTTCTATAGGCAAGCTGAGATAAGGTTCCCAAAAGACCTTGGTTCAACCCAGATACCTCTCCCTTGCCCACCTCCTTCTCTTTCTCTGGGAAGATAAAGCTAATTTGGCATTGAAATCAAAAGTGGGATTAATGCATGCCATAGGTCCCTAACTCAGCATTAAATTCTGAAAGCCCAGGTGTTGCAGTGCATGGCATTAATTGCAGGTCCATTTGTTAAATGCCTGCACGTACTGAAGCCTTCTGATTTGAATATAGAAGATGTGTCTCTGGCATTTGAGATCTAGGGATTCTTACAAAACTCTGGTTACTCTGTTCTCCAAATCCTCTATGTGTTTGTCTACACTTACAGTTTGAGAAGTAAACAAAATAGCTTTTCCTACGATTTTTACTGTAGTTGGGGGAAGAAGGAACTAGGTGAGTAAACTCTGTCACACTGGTTTTGCATAGGTGGAGTTATTTAGACCAGCTTTTTTATGCAATGGGCAGTTCCACCCCACAAATAAGAGCGATGATTACAATAGAAGCACAGGGATACTGGTCACCA